CATGATGCTGCCACCTCCATGCTTCACATCATGATGCTGCCACCTCCATGCTTCACATCATGACGCTGCCATGTGTTTTTAGTCTGTTTCTGTTTCCTCCGTGGTAAGCTGCCCATGTGCTGTCTGCAGATTACTTCACATACTCCTGTTTTTACTGGAACTCCTCCTTCTGTTTGTGGTTTGGGGGAGAGCAGCATTTCTCAGAAACTCTGTGTGTGCAGGTGTAAGTCTATTTGTGTTGTGTGTCTGCAGGTGTTCTGTGGTTGTCGGTGGTGTCAGAGGTGCTCTACATCCTGCTGCTGGTGGTCGGGTTCAGCCTCATGTGTCTGGAGCTTTTCCACTCTAGCAACGTCATAGACGGACTCAAACTCAACGCCTTTGCCGCTGTCTTCACCGTCCTGTCTGGTAAGATGGATACCCGACAGCACATGCAACACCTTCTTGTTCTTTATTCCTTTTGAGATGGAGATGAAGTGAAACTACTGCAGAGATCATTTAAAGCTGGAGCTACTTATTTTACACTAACAGGCATCATGTTTCTGCATCTGATCATGGAAATCAGTCAGAGCCTCCCACTTGAATTTTTATGTACAACAACTTCAGTATACTTAATGAAGACATGCAAAGTTTTACCTTCCTACTGTGAATACTTTTAGAGCTACAGGCCCTTGAAGTACATCGAGGGGATTTCAGAAGTGCAGCAAATTGACACGTGAAATTTTCAGGGCTGAAAAACACATTTGAGTTCTGTTGATAATTGCAACCAAATCAATTTTACATCCACTCCAGGTGTCAATCTATGGACTAAATAAGACGGGATAAGAAAACTGTTTTACTTTAGAGGGAATCATGTCTAGAAGGTGATCCTGGTATGAATGTAGGTAAAAGTGAGACCTTTCATTTGCTATAACTTGTTCTGACCAACCACCATCACACACGCTGATATGAGCCTCGAAAGTTTACCTTCTTTAACGTTCACATGGTTGAACACTGTGAACTGGTGGCGAGTTTTTGTTCTTTGGTGGCCAAACAGACGAAAGCCTCACAATGTTTCACTGTGAAAAAGGTTTTAGGATAATGAAGTTCTGGACTGGTTCCAGACTTGGTTCCAGACTTGGTTTCAGACAGATTGAGTTTAGACTTAGTTAAGACTGGTTTGATGGGTTTTTGACTAATTTCTGACTGATTTCAACCTTGATTTATTTATTTTTTCCTAAGTTTTAGATTGGGTTTTAGATGGTATTCGACCCAGTTTTGAGCTGGGTTAAGATGGATTTTAATACAGATTTTTGGACCAGTTCTAATCTTGATTTTATACCTGGTTTAGGCAGATTTTAGACTGGGTTTGGTTTCAACAGGTGTATGACTTGGTTTTGGACTTGCTTTTCAACTGGTTGTGGACCTGGTTTTGGACTTGGTTCAGGAATGGCTTTAAATGGTTTTAATCTTGACTTTTGAAACTGGGTCTGGGTGGATTTCTGACTAGTCTCGAGCTGGTTTAAATCCTACATTTTAGATCGGCTATGGACTTGGTTTCGACAAGTTCTTCTATTATTTGCAGAGCTTAAATGTGTTTATCAGCCCTGAAAATATCACGTGTCTGTCTGCTGTACTGATGAAGTTATGAGGCTTAAAAATGATGAAAAAGGTAATTAAGTGTGAAATTTAGACCCACCTTTATGTACTTCAAGGGCCTGTAACTCTAAAAATATTCATAGTATGAAGGTAAAACTTTGCATGGCCTCGTTAAATATACTAAGGTTTTTGTAGATGAAGAATCCACTGATCCTGAGGAGGTCAGGTGGGTGGATTTATCAGATTTGGTCGATTTTGAACAGAGTGACCCTCCTGTAACACACTCTGAGAGATGCTCTGAGATTTACGAGCAGAGCCGCAGATTTGATCGAGGTCGATGGGGGTTAGAGGTTATCCCCTGGAACCCTTCGCTGTGTCGCTGCCAAGGATTTTTCTCCCAACTCCTGTTAAACCTCTTACACAAGAAGTTGGCTCGGCGCTTGTCGTTCGTCTGCTGCTCTCAGACTCTCTAAAGGACGTCTGCAGCACAGCGTTGGCTCTTTTTAAAGCACATTTTACAGATTCTGAAACTGTGATCGTAGTTTCAGGTTCCTCAACCATCACATCACATCTGAGTTGAATGACATTTCAAAATGATATAAAAACTGATGAATATTCCTCACCTGAAAAACGCTATACGTGATGTTTTGGCAGAAAAAGGAATGCAGCTTTAATTAGAGAAACAGGATTGTGGCTGGAATTTAAAAGACAATTAAACACATGCAAAGTGATAAAATAAATTACGTGTCTGTAGTTTTTATTTTATTTTTATTTTCTAGAAATAGGCAAACAAATATCCCAAAAAATGAACAGCAAAGGTTCAAATCAGTAAAATGAAATCCTACACAGTTATAGTTTGTGCATGTCTCAGCTGTTTAAAGGCAGTTTGAACCCAAGACATGAGTGGCAACTCCATGACATCAATTTAACCCTCCTCTGACACATGTTTCCTCATTTTTCACTGCAGTATAAAGTCTTGTATCTCAGACTTGCCTTCTGTGTGGTACGACACAGTAATATTGTCACAAAGATGAAAAGAATGCTATAACAAATGCTACAAGTACAGGCAAAAATGGCACAAATAGATGTAGAAAAGTAAAAATAAATAAAAATAAGTGGCAGAAAAAAAGACACAAAAAGATGTGGAGAAATCTCAGAAATGCCCCATGTGCGGTATGACAGTAATACTGTCACAAAGATGATAAAATGACATTAAAAAGATCAAAAATAACAAGTAAAAATACACAAAAAGCCACAAAAATGACACAAAAAGATGTCATGGGAACTCAGTAATAATAAAAATAATATTATTATAAACAGAAATTTGTCAATATGAAGTCTATATTTGATAGATATTTTACTATTTACATTTTTTTGTACGTGTTTCTCTCTTTAAACACTGCCTGCAGTTCAGCCGAAAAGTCAAACTGAATTTTTCTCACGTGACTGCTGGCCACAGTTGAGTCGGTCATGGTTTCACAGTTTTTAATGAAGCATGCAGAATAAAATAAATCTGATTTTTCTTTAAAAATCAGGAATTTAAACCTAAAAACACACATTTCAAAGTTGATGGCTGGTTTTGGTTTTTGCTTGTTTTTAACCATGTTGATACCATAAAGGTCTGAATATAAGACTATTGGTTTGATTACCGTCTTCATTATCTGTTTAAGACTTCACCAGGACAGCAGTAGATTACGTTCCAGCTCTTTGTTCGGGGTTTAAAGCACATTAACTCACTCTCACCGCTCTCATGAACATCAGTTAAAGCTGCAGCTGTGCACCATCTGCTCAAACGGTTAAAAACCAGCCAGTGAAAGAAGTGAAACATCTGGCAGCTAAGGAGTCACTTACTGTTGTCAGGAGTTGGTGGAGACCAAAGCAGAGCTAAAAGGAAACTGCTGTTGGATTTAATTTCCAATTATACACTTGTCAGCAAAAGTTTCCATCCTCTTGTAAAGGCATGTCTGTGTTGAGTTCATTAGGGCTCCTGTAACTCTGAATTGTCTAGAATGGAATCACTGAAACACGTGCATCTCTCTCACAAAAAAAACCCCAACAAAACAAAACAACAGTCATGCATTTTTGATCTTTCATAGATTTATTATAGATCTTTGGGAAATATGAGAAAATCTGCTTTTCTAATATTTGGTTAAATGTCTGTTGACCATTTTCCCCTCAGTTAGGTACTTCTGGGTTCCTTCCACAAGGTTTTGTATCTTTGACTCCTCTACAAAGAATTGGTGCAGTTCAACAAAATTTGTTGTCTTTCTGACACAGACATGTTTTTTTTTTTTTTTTTTAAATCACAGTCCACCAATTCTTGTTGTGGTTTAAGTCAGGACTTTAGGTGACTGGTTGAAAACCTTAATTTTAGCCTGATTTAACCATTTCTTTACCACTTTTGATGTGTGTTTGTTTTGTTGGGACACCCAACTGTGTCCAAGATCCAACCTTCTTGCTGATAATTTTAGGTTTTCCTGAAGAATGTGGAGGTAATCCTCCTCCTTCTTTATGATTTTATTTACTTTGTGTAAAGCACCAGTTCCACTGGCACTGAAACAGCCCCAGAGCATGATACTGCCACCACCATGCTTGATGGTAGGTTTGGTGTTCTTGGGGTTAAAAGCCTTACCTTCTAGACTCCAAACATGTTTCTGATCATTGTGGCCAAAAATCTCAACTTTTGTTTCATCTGACCACAGAACTTTCCTCCAGAAGGTCTTTTCTTTGTTCTTGTGATCAGCAGCAAACTTCAGTTAATCTTTAAGGTTCTACTTCTGGAGGAAGAACTTCTGTCTTCATGCAGCCTCTCAGCTCATGTTGATGTTAAACACTGTGGACACTGACAGCTGTGTTCCAGCAGCTTCTAATTCATTGCAGACCTGCATTTTTAGTGATTCTTAGTTAACTCTTGACCATCCTGATCAATTTACTCTCAGCAGCAGCTGATAGTTTGGGTTTTCTTCCTGATCGTGGCAGTGATACAACTTTGGCCTTTATGCTTAGAAATAATTATTTGCACAGATGATTTTGGGATCTGTGGCTACTTTGACATGACTGAGCGACTTTCCTGACTTGTTTAAGTCAACGATTTGCTTTTTCAGATCTGTGCTGAGCTCCTCAGACTTTCCCACTGCAGCGTTTGTGACTGAGTCTCATAAGTGAATCAAATGGGCTCTAATTAAATTGGCGTCAGCAGCTGTAGTCAATTATAATCACTCACGAGAAGTTAAGAGGCCGTGAAACCAAGAACATTTGAATAAAACAACATTCTACATCACCAACACTGATAACTCAAGTTGTTCTATGCAGATTTGATCACATTTCCAGAAGACCTTTAATAAATCTATGAAAGAACTAAATTGCAGGATTGTTTTTGTGACAAAGACGCGTGTTTTAATGGCTTCGTCACACAAATTCAGAGTCGTAGGAGTCTTTGGAAACTCCACACTGCCATGATGCACATGGTCTTTACAAGGGGATGTAAACTTTTGTTCACGACTGTACATTAGGACCTTTTTTCTGTTATTTTATTAGGTGTTATCTGTAGTTTCAAAAAACAGGGAAAACCTGTAAAATAACCATAAGTTGTATTAAAACAATTACAGTCAACCAACCCAGATGTTTCACAGTGTATACGTTGGACTGGACATAACAACTCCTGACATGTAGTCGACTGCTAACCAGATGTTTACGCCCGAGGACGTCGTGCACATGTTGTCATGTGACCTCCACACATGCACGGTCCTTTCTCGGAGGTCTGCCGTCTTTGCGCTGAAGTGTAAATCTGACTTTTTTCCTGATTACAGACTCGTGGCTGCGATCTATAACCGCTGCATCGACTCGCTCTCGCCGTGGCCGTTTCTGATTTATTGTGAATTTATGAGTGATTACGTCTCCGCCTCTAATTGATTGGAGCGCCACATTAAATCAATTGATACTGCATAATGACTAATTATGATAATTACATGTGTGCTGATTTATCGCTGAGCTGCGGCTCACACATGAAGTGATTTACTGCTGTTTTGACTGCGGTAATTATGGCATCAGATTATCTTGTGCTCGGGGTTTTGTGCTGTTATGTAAGAGCAAGAAGGCAAACCGGAGCTCCTCTGGAAGTTCGTCCTGAGCTGACGGAAGGTCACACAGTCATTAAAATGCACTCAGTTTTAATGTAGACAATAGATTTTTAAATGGCTATTGAGTGAAAGGAGACATTTTTTTGTATGCTGCTGCTTAAAAAACAGCTTTTGAGCGTCTGCAGGTCTTAAGACGATTTGAATTCAGCTACAAAGAAAAGCTCTTGAATTATTTTCTTCCCTGACATTGGTGTTCAAATTATTTATAAGTTGATTTTTAAATCCGATTGGGACATGTTATAAATGAATAAACTCTTTTTGGGGAATTTTATTTCGCCCCAGGAAACCTTATTGAACTCTGCTGCTGCTCATGAAGTTTTAATGAGCAAATGTCAATTTTAGCCAAAGAGTAAATAAAGTCATTATTTTTAATTAGTCAATCACTATCAGCTTCTTGCCACTTCTTCTATAACCAACTTTGTCACTTGCCTCAAAGTACAGACAGAAATGTGACATAATTTACGTGAATTCTCTCTTTTTGTTCTCCCCCATCATTTTTTTTTTTACATAGAATTTGCACTGACAGAGTTCTGCCTTATATTTTTTCTATTATTCCATTTTATTTTTTTTATTCAGTATATATTTTAGCGATATGTAAATTGCTGCAATTTCCCCTCAGGGATCAATAAAATACTCTATCCATGTATGAAGTGGAGAGAGAGAGAAGAACATGCAATCCTGTGATATCAGAAGCCAAACAAATAATGATGCAACACCGAGGTTTCTGTTAGAATGAAGATTTGCAAAAACTCATATCTCCTCTCAGCAGAGCGAATAAAAAATGTGTCCTATACGAGTTGTGCCGGGTGACTGGATGGTGTTTGCATATTAAGGAATACAATTTATGAATGTATTTTTAATATAATGTCATTTTTAATGTATTTAAAGACAGATTAACTTCCATCCACTCACTTAAAGCCATTTAACCGTCCAAGATGCAACTCAAACTGGGCAGAAAATGTCCAATCTGGCAGCCAAGCTGGCCAAGAACGCTACCTTGGGGGGTGGAAAAAGTACTATTAGTACTACTACGACTACTACAATCCAGTGCCATATGCAGACAAAATAAATTTGAAAACTAACAGAAAAATTAAAGCCCCAAGCAGCGAAGGACGGGTCCTTGTTGTACGATTGTCGGCCTTCGCACACATTGGGGTGTGGAGCAAACGTGCTTTGGGCAGGACTCTGATCCGGCGTGTTGAGTTTCAGGCAGATCAGAGCACGTGTGGCGTAGTTATGAGCCACTTCCTGTTTAATGGGCCGTGGCGGAAACGTGCTCTGGCTGTAACCCGATGCATGCATGTAAAGTTTCAGGCAGATTGGAGCACATGCAGGTCAGTTACATAGCACATCCCGTTTTGTGGCGTTTTATGACGCCATATTTTTTTCAAAATGGTCGACTTCCTGTTGGGTTTAGGGCTTGGCGCCAACTGACTTTTTGGTGGGTTCAAATATAACAACATCTAAAAGGGGATAGACGTGTGTTTATATATGATACAAACTTTATCAAACTAAAATGTGACATAATTATTCATTCTTGACCTCTATAAAACTTTCTTTTTTTTTAATCGCTAAAAAATTTGTTAAAATCTGGTAGCAAGGTGTACCAGGAAAATATGTTAAACAATGGAATACTGTAATGTTCCCAAACTGCAAAAACTGTGCACATAAAATAAAATAGTAACATTTTCAAGTGATTTTAATTTAATTTTGATATCAAAAAATGTAAAACAACAAATTCCTATTCATACAAATACAAGTTTTTGATGTTACGATATTAGTTTCTTTGTTTCTTTCTTTTCTAAACTAGTGTTTGTATTTTAACAAAACGGGGAAAATCTGTGAAACAACAGGAAACTTAAAGAAATTACAGTCAAAAGCACAGATTTATTTATTTATTTTTTTAAACCAGTGTATTTAATTTTTAATTCCTGATATATCTCCTGGTTTCGTCGCTTAAAACAAACAACAAAAAACCCAACAACATTTCAGTTCCATATTCTGTTTCAGATTTGGTGATGTGTTTCTGATCACTTCACGATGTACGAACACAAGAAATTCATCTTACTGCTCCGAGGTTACGCAGCATCATTACGTCCAGATTATTCAGGTGGATTAAAGCACAAGTTTAAAGTTGTTTTTTCAGCATTAACGGTGTTTTTGTGTTGTGTGCTGCAGGTCTGCTGGGTATGGTGGCCCACATGATGTACACTCAGGTGTTCCAGATCACAGTCAGTCTGGGTCCTGAAGACTGGAGGCCTCACAGCTGGGACTACGGCTGGTCCTTCTGGTCAGTCCATCACCGATTCACACTCACGCTCTATCCGCCGAACCCTCAGCTTAACCCGAAGCCGAGTCTTCACGCTGAAATGTAATGTTTCAACTGACGCTGACGTTGTGTGGATTCATGCCCCCGCAGCATGACTCACAAAAGTCACACAAATACTGTAAAGTATGTCTGCAATTTTGATGACGAAAGATTCCTACATAGCTGCTAAAGGACAAATATTTACCCTGGCAGAAGAATGCAGTGTAATGTACTTGACGGATTCCAGAGTGCGTATTTATCCAGTAAAAATCAGATATTAGACATTTATGGTGCCTACAAACTGCATTCACCCCTGTGGAAGAGTTCATTTGCAAAAACTGATAAATCCATGTTCACAAACCTTCAGAAAACCCACGTCTCCATCGTCTACCTGAGACAATCTCACTCAGACTTCAGTTATCTCTGGTTTTGTCATTTCTATTGATTCAAATCCACTCAACTTCAGTTTGATTGATATCATCTCAAGCAAACAACAACAGAATAAGTTTTCTGAACATCTACAAAAATGGAGTTATGTTTTGGATTTTATTTGATTTGTTGATTCATTTCAGACATGTCAAAACCAGTGTACGAAACCCAGTGTAGCAACGCATGCACATAAAGAAAAGAAAGAATAATTATATGAATAATATGAAATTATGCATATATATACACATATACACACACACACATATATACATACATACACATTTTTGCAAATGAACTCTTCACGTTTCCTCCTTTTTTTGCTTTTCAACACTGAATCATGATCAAATTAATTTGGCTTTGTTAACAAGAATCTCCAAACTAGACTATTTAATGTCAGAATGGAAACAGATTTCCTCAAAGTAATGCCAGTTAATTAAAAATCTAAAATAAGTGATTGTATCAGAATTCAGCCCCTTCATTTGGGATTTGAAATATATCTTTTGGTGACACCAGTCCTGAAACTTTTCTGACACACCTCGGTGGTATGTTTGGGGGACACAAAACCCTGCACATCATCACAAACACACCATCCCCACTGTGAAGCATGGAGGTGGCAGCATCATGACGCGGGAATGCTTCTGAGCTGCAGGTCCTGGAAAGGTAGAGCGTAAAATCAGTTACAGTGTAGAGAAATCCTGGAGGACAACCTGATGCTGTGACTCGGGAGAAGATTTGTTTTCCAGCAAAACAATGAGCCGAAAAAAACCCCAAACAGCCGAAGCCAGTTTTTACAGTTTTACAGAGAAGAATGAGGTAAAATTTAAGTGTTCAGATGTTCAGACTGATTGAGACCAACACAGGATCAATGCTGAGACTGGAGCCAAAGGTGCATCTACTGAATACTGACTGGAAGATGGTGAATACTTATGCAATCACTTGTTTTATGTTTTATATTTGGAAAGAATCAATTATTTTGTAGATATCTGTTCTTAGTTCAACATGAAATAGTCTTTTATTTTTGTTCTTTTCTTTGTGAATTCTTGCCCAAAGTTTCAAATTAAATTGATTTAATATTGTAAAGAAATAAAAGCAGAAAACTTCCAAGTGGGGTGAATACTTTGTATTGGCGCTGTAAACAACAGAACCATCAGGCCTCCAATTATCCAGTCATGTTGACCATGGCTGTTGCTGCGCTCGGCAGGTGGTGTTCAGGTTTACAGAGGCTGTTGTTTCTCAGATAATTACCCAGAAGGACATTCCTTCCTCTAATCTGAGCTACAGCTGCCGTCTGAGTTCAAACAAAGCATTTGTGGAGGACACAGAATGTCAGAAAAGATCCATTAAAACTCCCGTATGTCATTTGTGAAAGTATTGTGTTTGAAGCCGCTTCAGTCTTTTCAGCAAATTCTCCCAAAGCACCTAAACTCACATGAAAGTGACTGCGCCCTCTAGTGGCTACATTAATGATCACAGGAGCCATAATGTAGGGAGGAGCTCGGGGTGGCTGGATGGGTTGGACTTTCATTTCAAGCCTCAAACTAATATTTTATCGTATGATTTTTACCATTTTACAAAAAGCACCTTTAAAAACTGTATTTCTTTTTTTTTTTTACGAACCTTTACACACACACACACATATATATGCGCGTATAAGCACAAATAAACTCCACTAGGGAAAAACAGCCATTACATGTGTTTATATATAATATAAACATCATAAAACTAAAATGTGATAGAAATATTAATTTTGAATTTCTCGTTTTGACTTTTTAATAAAATATGCAGTAAAAAATTTTCCAAATTTGGCAGCAAAGGTGCCCATAAAAATACATTAGAAAATGGTGGAATATAAATACAGCAAAAATAACAGCAAATATCAGTATAATAGTGACATTTTTAGCTGATTCAAATACAGTAAAACTGTGTAATTCTAAAGGAACAATTACTATATGTAAAAATACAAATTTAGAATATACTTCTGACATTATTGACCTTTTTTTTGCCATTACTTTTGTAGTCATGTAATTATCTGTACTTTAACAAAACAGAAAAAAAGAAAGAAAATATTACTTTAAAACAATCATTTCTGACAACATCAAAATATTGTTTTATCTTCATTTTTTTTATTTAAATGAATGAATTACTTGTATTTTTTTTTTATTCTTGTAACCATGCATTTCAAGAAGCAGTGGGAATAGGTCTCTTCAATTACTTTCTAGAGTGCACATGAATATGATAATTTTTAGAGAATTTAATAATATTATATCTTTAGAACCGAGTAAAGAATCTCTGCAGCAGTCATTCATGCATATTGCATGATCATTGTGAGCTTATGTGGCTAAAAGCTGGACTTCATTCTTCCTCTGAAACGGCCGCTGAAGGTCATGTGACGTGATGAAAAGCTCCACAGTGACTCCTAAATGGACCTTATGGTGAGAATGTTTCCCATCTGCTGTTTTCAACACTGTCAGTGAACTTTAAACCTCATAGACATTGTGTCTTTATGCAGAACTCACCGAAACCAGCTTTGTAAAGTGTGTTTTAAGAAGAAACACAAAACAATAAAAGAAAAGAAATATAAAGAAGGTTGAGCGAACCAGCTGGAACAAGAACACCTGCTCTGGTTAATAACCAGATTTTCTCTGTCAGTCACTAAAATAAAGCTTCTCGTTTAACATCACCGGGGAGTCGATCAGGATCATTAAAGTAGAATAAATTCTGCAGGAAGATTAACCTCCACAGGAACAGAAGCTTAAAAAGCTCCTTGAGGAGGGATTTAAAGTGTGAACGTTCTCTGACGTGTTTGGTTGGCAGTTTGGAAACAGCTCAGGCTTTTATTTTGAAACACATAGTCCAATTACAAGGTTTTTCATTCTTGTTTTTTCCTCAGCCTGCAGTTCATTCATGTTGTTTTGAGGTTTTATTTGTAATATTTATTTTATTATTATTTTAGATTGAGTTGGAATCAGGAAATACGGTTTTCCCTCATGTGTACGTCCATCAGTAATACTCACTGGAGCCACTTGTCATCCAACACAAACAAAAATCACAACTTAGTTTTGTTCTAACATCAGTGAAAAGCCTGATTTGTAGTTCAGGACAACCACAGACTCCATCATCAATCAGTCAAACTGCGTCATAGTCTTCTTATCGGAACAGAAATCCTGCACAGTTGTTAAAGAACTCTGATTTTTATTCATGTGTCCTGGTTATTTATAAGTTGTTGCAGCGCACTTATATGTGTACAAGACAGACAGGTGAATTTTAAACAAACTGATTGATCGCTGTGAGTGACGTTAAACTGCGTATTAATATGAAATCAGGCCACAGTTTGGCTTCCTGTTGCCACCAGATAAAACAGTGATGGATTGCATCAGTCCCGTCTGAGTTCTGAGGTTATTTACCTTCATGGTTTCTCTCTCACGGCACGTCTCACCATCTCCTCTTGGTATTTTCTCAGCGTACGGCGTTTGGCAGCTTGTTTGCTTCTTTATTAAATACCTAATATCAGAGTGATTCCCTCCACAGTCTCTCAATTAGCAGCTCGTCAGTAATGAGGACATTAAAGTTGAAGAGCTCCGAGGATCACCACAGATGGTTTCTGAGTCGCAGGAAATGTCTCCATCTGGTCGATGGAACCTCCTGTTGTTTGCGGCGGGGACAAAGACAATTTGGTTCAGAGGAATTTTAGCCAGCGGTGGTCATGAAAGTACCTTAAAAGTGTCTCTGGGTCTTTGTGGTGCACAAAGGTTGAGTCTAACAAGCTGGAAGGGATTTTTCCAACCTGTCGGCGTCATTTTCAGCCGACTCGAAGCTTGTTAGGAGAAATTAACTCGTTCCTCATGACAACAGAAGAAGGAGAGAGAAATGTGTCTGTGCAGTGTGACACAATAGAACCAGAGAAATCAGAAAAAAAAAATAATGAAGTAGACTTTTAGGACATTCCTCGTCATAGGAGAGCCGGAGAAGAACAAATTAGTGCAACGCTGGTTTGTCAGATTGAATTCAGTGTTGTTGGATTACAGATTATTAGAGTGAAATAACAGAAAAACTCCCAGAAAAGAAAACATGAAAAACACAATACAATACTCCAACATTCAAAAACTGTACAAAAACTTAAAATAACAGCAAATATCAGCAACTAAGGATATTTTAGCAGGTATTTCAGTGAAGCTTTGTCATTTTATGGTCACATATTGTTAAAAAAAAAAAAGAATTACAATTTGTAAAAATACAGATTTTTGATGTGGACATTATTTACAGTTTTGGCCTGTTTTGCATGTACATGAATTTTGTGATTTTTACTAAATATCTGTATTTTAACAAATAGGAAAACTCTGTAGAATAACAGAAATAAAAAAAAAAGTTCAAATGGTTTTTTTTACAGTGCAGATGAAGAAAATCTAATGCAATGTTGATAAAATTTGAATTACCAACAAACCAGAATCTGACTTTCTACAAATGGTAACTCATTGTTTTACCACATTTGGCAGTAAAATTACACCATTTTTACTGTATTTAATGCAGCAAAAAATAGAATTTCTT